ATATTCATGACAAGATTTCTCTATCTCTATAAAACACGCACAAGTGCAGTTCTACATGTAGGCCTATAATACTAACACACTATAGGCCTACAGTTCTACATGTAGGCCCATTTAATCTCCAATCCACCCGAAGCGCATAATAGGCCTTACAGACAGCTGTGGGTGCCGTGCGCTGCTTTTAACGAACTTTCTCACTGCGCCCACATTAGGAAGGAAATCACTGTGGTAAACTGGTCCGAACGCATAGACAAATGGAGTCCATTATTACTATTTGTTTTAAAACATTACATATATCTGTAGAGAAACCCTTTCGCTACACAATGGTGGATAGATCATTGTTGCATCTTCATGCAATGAGCAATTTCCTTCCCCTATCCCCATTATAAATGTTCTAATTTAAGGCCAAGTGTGTGATATAATGTTAAAGTAAACCACACTGATTTGTTCTGGGAAAACCTAGAAAAAATTAAACATCATGGATTAGGAAAATTTATCTTCACATTGCTTGTCAGGGTCGTACGTGAACCCCTTGTTCCAACCAGACTACTATCTTTCATCAATGTCTCCACTAGCACAATATGAAGAAATTTGCGGACATCGTCACAATCATGTTGAGACTGTCCCTAAGACCAAATACTGCAGCCTCAGTACTATTGCAGCTTCACTTTACCAAGATCTATGGTAACAAAATTTATCAAAAAAAATTATCTGAAATATTTTCAAGTAAATATACTAGTTTGATAATGTTTTAAATAAAACGGTGAATTATTTTGCCTTCACTGTGCTATTTTTAAACATTCTAAGCAACTCGACCCTGAGTTCAGTACGTTGGCACAGGTGTCAGTGGTTGTTCCTGGATAGTAGGCCTACTGCATGTGAAGGCTTGACGGTGTGTTTTAATGTAACATGCGGAGCAAAATCTGTATTATTTAATACTTGACATGAATTGTAGTTGAGTCCACCCCTACCCCTTTGTACCGCGTTATCTACCATACGGGATCATATCTTTTTCCTTGTGAAATGTATGCTCATTGCTTGTGGCACTCTCAATCTGCCTAGTTGTTTATTAAAGCCTTAAAGGTTGGGTCCTTGGGGATCAGCTTGTGGCTGAGGTCTCTCATCTGCTGAGTGATCCATTTTTCCCTGGTTTATCTGTATTTATAAGGCTGAATGCTGGGGTATCTAACTGCTGCTGTAGTATTTCATTCACTTGGCATCTTAGTGAGAGGAACTTCGGGTTCACAGGTCTCTCCACCACCTTACATAACGTCATGTTTTGCTTTCTAGAGACCAGCGTACAGTGCCCTCCGTCTGAGTACAGACTACTGACCCCTACATTTTTTCTATCATTTTATACCTTTACATATACAACTACATGACACTGGTTTCCCAGCCAGGTGGGTTGCCGTAGTGATCACTTTAATTTAAACCGTGGGTGTTGGGGGTGGTGGGCTCATGTCCTAGTTAGATTCCACTTTACCAAAATAACACGATTCAGAGCTGGGCCTCCGAGGACGTGTGTTTTGACAGCGCCCCTTGCACAGTTGAGAGCGGCTTTTAGAGTGTGTTAGGCTTTTCGCCTTTATTATGAGAAACGATTGTCTCTGATAGGAAGGCAGGGGTCTCGCCTGCCTGGTATGAGATTTATAGTCACTGATATATATAGGGTGCCCTGAAAAGGACATTCCGTGCAGAGTAGAGAGCTACTCTTAGAGTGTGTTAGGCTTCTCGCTTTTATTATGAGGAAAGATCGTCTCTGATAGGAAGGTAGGTGTCTCACCTACATAGTATGAGATTTATAGATACCGATCTACATAGGGTGCCCTGAAAAGGGCATTTCGTGATTGGCACGATAGAGGCGTCTCGCCTGTCGAGGGAAGGGGGAGGGTGGACTGGTTGCAGAAAGCGCTTTTCGGTCAACAAGTGACCTCCATCAGCTGCAGAGTCCGAGATGAAAAAAAAAAGAAAAATTCTGGGACGTAGGGGGTTGGTAAGCACATGGACATAATAAGAGAACCTTTCATACTTAGGTCCAAGGTAAGCAAAGGTGTCTCGCCTTTGTTTAGTGAGTTTTCATCAATGGTGTCTCGCCATTGTGAATGATACGAGCCATCTCGGCTTTATAGTATCATGCTTGATCACAAGTGTCTCGCTTGTGTCAAGTGGGGTGGATATCTAGAAATACCGTTCAGTCTAAGATGTTGTATCTTGTTAAGGAGTTCTCCTCCACAACAAAAGGGATACGAGCTGGACGGTATGAATTGAGCGTGTGAATGGCTCAAGAGTCGGAGGTCGACGAACGCTAAGGGTAAAACTTTGAAGTCATCACGCATATGGATGCTGCTTCAGCTGAAACTTGTGGAGGAGAAGTTTTTGTAACATGTTCATGTTCATGACAAAAAAACATAAGTGGCAGATAACAGGAAACAAAAGGTTAATTGGCAAGTTTTTAATTTGAAAACCATTGATAGAACCATTTCATGGCAACTAATCAACCTTTTGCGAAAAAAAAAAGTTCTCGAAACAAAAATTTGATCCTCGTGACGTAATTTGATCCTGCTCAGTCATACGTGAAAAGACACAACAATCCATGGCGTGTATCGAAGCATAATTTCCCTACGAACCTATATTTACATTAACATTTGTTATATGAAATAAAATTTTAAAATTTTGGATATTTTTCTAAGTGTTCACTTTTTTTTATACAGCCTGTATAACAACCTCAGAGGGGGATCAGGGGGGTCTTGCCCCCCCCCCCCCCCTCCGTCGGTTTTAGAAAAGTATATCACACCTATATTCCCCTCTTGAAATTAGGATTTTGGCTAGCTAAGAGAGCAAGGTATTTAATGGTCTCTCAATGAATGCCAATGAATGACATTCAGAGACTATGAAGGGATTAATGCGCTACCTCCAGAATAACGTCAAATGTCATATTTCTTTATTTGAATCGGTTTTAAAATGGTTTCTTTTGCTAAATTCTTCTTTTTACAAAATAGTTTGTAATCTAGAGTGTCGTATTAGACACGCTGAAGGGTTCAAAAAGAGAACTAGTTTTGGAAACATGTTGCACATTTTCTCTTGAAATATTTTTCAAGTTAATTACTAACTTCAGATTTTAGCGCTCTCTTTCGACGTAATCACTGTTTCACAGCGAAAGAAATCACAGTGCGCGATGATTGACGTTTGTTTATATAACCTGCCAATCAAGCTGTTATTACTTGACAGAAACTATCAAAACTAACTGAATTTGATTGGCACCTTGTCAATCAAAGGGTGTAGGAAGCTTGAACTAAACGTGTTCGACGACTATAGTGATTTACTGTGTAATGATTGTGATTGACGTTTGTTTATATAACCTGCCAATCAAGATGTTATTACTTGACAGCAACTATCAAAATTAATGAATTTGATTGGCATCTTGTCTATCAAAGGATATTGGAGTTTTACATGTTCGGAGAGAAGAGTGTAGTAATTGTGTTTGACGTTTGTTTAAAAAATTTTCATTTATAGCCGTGTGCGCTTGACAGCTTCCATCAAAGTTGAATAAGCCTGTTTGAATTTGATTCATACCTGTCTATAAAAATACATGTCGTAACATTCTGGAGGTAGGGGGCATTCTATTTTCTTTTTTTGCAGGGAGTTAAAAAACGTCGGGCTCTTTATTTTAACCGAGAGCCTGAAAATTAACGACGTGAAAAAGTCCTGGGTTCTTTCACAGGCGTTTGTAATTGTACTAAAATTAGTTGTCATTCTTTTTCTGGATATGGTGTAAAATGACTATACATGAATTAACGTTGTTGTCGATGTTTGTTGCTCCATAATCCTTTCTTTGCTCGGACGAAATCGGAACTTCGTATACGAACTGAACATATTACTTTAATCATACTCATGTTCTTTTACACCCAATGAATATTTTTGGATCATTTTTAAAAAACAAATGGTATAAAAAGTAAACCTTGTCATTTTTCATGAGCTACGGAGAGAAAAAAAGCCGAGATAATGATGTTAGTGGCCAGGTAAAATTAGAAAGTACCGGTTTTGTTCGTTCCTTATAAAGGGCCGGGGCAATAAGTAGCCCGTCTCTGTATATTGACAGGAGCGTGCGTGAAAACTGTTGTTTTTAAATAAACTACACAATTAAAACTGACAAATTAAAACTGAAAACAATTTTATGCAATGCGTTAACAATCTTTCGAGCTTTAATCTTCATAAGTATAAAAACTCCAGATTTCAATAACGTGTGAAATTTATTAAACTAATAGTGGAATAAGTCGGGCTGGTTTAATCAAAGACTTGAAATTCTTGGTTTCATATAATGAAGTTGTTCGTTCAATATTTTATACTTTATTTCATCACATTGGTAAAAATGATCTTTTCATTATATATAAAATGGATGCTACAAGATTTAATATTTGATCGAATATTTACTTGAAAACATACTTTTTTATCTAATTAATTTTATTCTATTTTTAAGTAAAAACAAAATTAATTCAGCATTTACAACAACATCTTTGCTTGTCCGAAGGCGCATATTATAATGTAAGAGATTTCCTGGCATGCTTTTTGCTTTTTAATATGTATATTTTATATATAATGTTTCATACCGCAAGTGACACTAAAAATAAAGCTTTTTTCTCTCGGTATTTTTTTCAACTAATCTATCATAGAGAAACATCTTTCACTTGTTTCTATATAACCCAGATTAGTTTTGAGCTCAGGTCAAGAAAAGTCGGTTTGTCAGCAGATAAGTCAAAGGGGTTCAGACAGAGGAACCGGGGGCGGTAGGCGAGTATTGACATTCCTCTCTTTTAGTACGTAAAAAATGAAGCGCATTCAAATAATTGTGCACGAGGCAACTTTATATCTTGGCTTCCATTTTTTCGCCCTTAGAAATACCCACAGATACTGAGCTTACTTAAGCCCCGATTTAAGGGTCATTCACAAGTAAACTCAGTACCGAAATGCCGTATAGTTCCATTGGGGCCGTNCAAAGTTGGCAGGAAATGAGTGTAGTGAAGTAATGAATCATACCATCCAATTTCATCTAACACCTAAATACCTTCCTTTTCAGTGCTATTAATCTGCTGCTGAAGCAGGGAAAAGTGAAAGAGGTAAATGTGGTAACAATGCCCAGATTTGATAACACAAACTCTTTATAGAGCACTCTTGCAATTAAAGCTGCACAGATATAACAGTGCCCGTTTCATTTTATCCTAGTAAGGTGTAATCATCTTGTCATAAATGTCTCTTCTAATAATAATGATAGAATGGCAAGGTATATTAATAATTAGCAGTGTGTCAATTGGCAGTATATCTTGGACCCAGCTGCCTCTAAGTTGTCTCTAGGGCACTCGTTGTAAGGCAGTCAGAAAACTAATAAAGCACGAAGCTGTGACAGGAGAGGGCTTTGATGGACTGATTGCATGCTGGAAGTTTCCCTTTTCTGTTTGAAACTGCCTGATTAACCACAGACACTGTATTTGCTTTCAACAGAAATAGCAACATGTATTGATTATTTTAGATGAATATGGAACATTTCACTTTCATTTTTCAGATGCAAAATGTAGTATTTTTGAAAAAGGATGGGGGGGGGGAGACACATTGTTTACTGATTGTTTCTTGTTATTCAGGTGACAGGATTAATGTTTTACATTTTAGGTTCACAAAGCATACCAGAAGGCAGTTGGAAGTCTCCAGTACACCGTGTCTTTATGGAAAGATGTAATATTTTCTCATTTCCCTAGTTAAATTGGATTTTTCCTAGATTTGTATTAGCCTTAAAGGAAAAGGAAAAACTTAAGAATAAGACACATTCTTATTTTTATATAAAACTTAAACATGTTGTAGCACTGGATATTTAATGTAAAGTTTCAATTGATTACATGTCAGAAGTACGTTAAAATTATCATTTGTGTAACATTTTTTTTTACAAATTGCCATCTTGATTTAAAAACATTTCTATTTCTGCAATATTTTATATCATTACAGTTCATCCTGTTTGCCATCAGTCAACAAGCAGCAGAGGTTGTAACCAAGTTGATAGAGGAGTGCAACCGTTTAGAAGTGAACATTGCTCCCTTTGTTGCCACTATACTCAAACTTTCTTGAAGCCCAAGAACCAGTTGTAATATTAGAGCCCTGTCAATGATTAGATTATTGTCCTTTTACATTAAATATAGCCCATTAAATTTTATTTATTTTTAAATTCTTCTGAAATGGTGTAAACAGGTCAGAGATATTTCAACTTTTAAGTGAATATTAAGAGTTGCAAATTGCTTGTTAAAGAAAATCTTTTTTTTTTTTTAACGTTTGGCAGCATGGACTTATTATCCTGCAAATCTGAATTTTGACCTGAAAATTTAAAACATTTGAAGGCTGGGAAGATCTAATAATAATAAAAAAGTAACTTTTTATCACAAACTTGCAGGCCAAACCACACAGTTGTTGGTCTTGTGCTCCCTGGCAAAGTGTGAAAATGAACTAATATTGAAAGAAAATATTCAGTATGACAGAACTGAAAACCTATCACACTGCCCTTCGGTAATGTTTATGGTATCCTTGGCAACAGCATGATAACACCAGCAGTGAAGAATGCCCATACAACCTGGAGAGATTGGAATGATTACTGCGCAGTAAGTATGGTGAACAAAACCAGATGGAAGTTCTGTTCAAACCCTCTCTGGTGTATATACATATATGTGTATGCTGAGACAGATTGGTGATGGAAAAATCAATGAGCTGAAAGTGCTTGTGCGATTTGAGCCTCCACCAAATCAACCAGGAAATCAATTATTCTGTATACAAGAGCAGTGTAAATAAGCTTGTAATTAAATCGAATATGAAACCTCATTCCTTATGGATTATTTCTCAGCAAATCTGAACAACCAGGTACTTCATTTGCGACACATATGTTACACATTTCTGTAAACTGCAAAATTCATTGCGATTTTGAAAGTAGTGGGGAATTCATGATAGTCCCAGTTACTTGTGACTATCAAAAACTGCTTACAGATTGAATCTTCCATCTGAATTTGTTCATGTATATCTGCTTGGAGATATATAACTAAAAATGGTATTAATAAGCACAAGTGACATTGTTTTGTTTTGCATAACTATGTATAATCTAGATTTTTTGTTGATAATGGCAGTATTGTGTCTTTGTTGTTGTTGTTGTGCTAACTTGAGTTGAGATTCCAGCCAGCAAACAAGATGTTGGTCTACTTAATAATGGTGGTGTACTCCAGAACAGTTTATTGAGCTGGAAAGTTTGATACAGTAACAAATTGATGCACTCTACAGCTGCTTGCGGATCTTGTGCTCTACTGCACTGGAGTTTAATGCTTCACTTCCTGTATTTCTACAAGAATTGTTCACTGATGATTTGATATACTGAGACCTCCAGTGCACTATGGAACATTGTGCCTGTAAGCAGACGTTGCTTGGCATCGTTTTGAGTCACACCTGAGGAAAACTACAGACCTGTTAAAATTTACTTAAGAAACATCTCATGAGTGCTTATCAGAACGACGTAGTTAACAGTAGACAGATATATTTATCATGTACTGGTATTTCTCATATTTCCTGTTGTAGTTTATGAAAACTTGATTGAAGCTGCTTCAGGGCTTCTGAATTTTTATGAAATTTTGGCTTCTTGTTTTGAGAGACAAATATGAAGCAAAATTTTACAAAAATACTAGACATTATTTGCAAAAAATAGCTTTTACATACAAAAATAGACAATGGCAAAGAATTTTACTGAAATATTTTTGTGAATGAACTTGAAATGGTCAAAATGTAATTTTTTTATTTTTGGTTGAGTAATCTGTGAAAATACCATTTTTGGAAATATTGTACGCTTTATTTATTTAAACAAATAAATTATGTTTACTACTATGCTCTTTTGTTTTGCATTATTACTGAATAATTGCCAGCATAAATGGCAACAATATTGGATTTACCAAAAAAAAAAAAAAAGAAATGAAACACAATTGCGATAAGTTTCTTGTGGGAGGACGGTGCCTCCAAAGTCTGAAGGACTTGAGATCTGTTTTGCCTTGAAAGTAAATGAGTAGAAATCCAAGTAGTTGGTCGATATAAGTGGTCGTATTTCTGTCCTGAAGTGTCACGAGCTGTCGTGAGAACCAACTTTTAAAACTTCCAGCAAAGTGCACAAAATTAATACCTGGAGACGACTTATTGAAGTGAGTCTTCATTTTCAACCTGATTTTGACTGGGCCTTGAAACTTTGGCGGACTAGTTTTAGAGTTGGTAGCCATAAATTTTGGAATTTCAAACGTCTGTTTATATGAAAAGATCGGTAAGGCTTAGAAAAGTAAAATAACCAACAAGAAATGAGCGTTTTGGCAGCAGTACATTTTGCACACCCCAGCTGGACTTGCAGACAGATGATTAAATAGTTTCGTCGCCAAGGCCAGAGAAGGTTCTATATGAAATTTTCAGAAGCAAATCTACAACAAAAATCACTTTCATTATTATTCTTTGTGTAAATTTCCAAACTGACCGATAACATTTGACTGAAATGGAAGCAGCGTGTTCGCATATTTCGCGGGAACTTCCTTTGCAGCAAGTGTAAACTATAAGAAAATTCTATTTGAATTCCCCATTTTCTTTCCTAATTGCCTTGTATGATTGTCAAAATTGGTTGCTGATTTCCCCAGGGAGTTTGTGGCCATGCTTCCCTTGTAAAGTCACGGGGGTGCCGAGAAAACGAAGATAAACGTATGCTTTTTTCCTTTCAATTGCAAAATCCACATGAGAACAGCAAAAATGTCTTCGTCTTTTTTCGTACATTTTTTCAATTTTTTCTTTATCACCAAGCAATGCTATATCCCAAACTGTTGAGAAAACTGATGTTTTCAGATTGTTAACTTCTTATTTTTACGTAGTAAAATCTATCGCCTATATCTATATTACGAATATATCTCAAAAACTTGAAACTGCCCCTGCATGTAGCTCGACCAGACGCTTGTCACTCGCAATAAAATTGGCTTACTTCTGACCTTTAGCTTATGAAAAGTTCCTGAATCCATTTCAAATTGAAAATCCTGTTAGTAGTAAGAGATAAAATAGATGGCATTACGCAAACTGAATATGTAAATAATGCCTTGATTCATCCCTTCTGGTTACGTTACTGGTAAAATATAATCTTGCAATACCATTGGCGAGGCGTAGTAATTAACTTTCTCATCCACGTCAAGCAAAAGCACTAAAACTGGAATAGGGGTTGACTAAAAGGAATCCCCTCTCCCATTGTTTAATATATAGGGCCTATATAACACGTACGCACACTTGTTTCCCGCCTTCCATCTCAGGATAAACAGCAGGAGTTGGAGATAGAGGGTTTAGCCAGATTGAGGGGGCTTCGTTTTTGTCTATTTCAGCTTCACTTTCCACTTGTTTCTTAAATGTGAAGTTCACGTGCACCGAAGAGATCTCAAAAAATTGCAGCGTTTATATCTGAAAACTGGAGAATCGACAGGATGGAAAGTCATGGAAAGGTCGCGTCCACGTCCTTGTTGAAAAAATCACTTGTGTTATGTTTTCACAAGAAGAGGATAAAAACGATTTTATGAATATGTTTATCTAAACAAAAATATATGTTTTTCTGTTAGTGTCACGAAAAAAATTAATGGGGACCAGCAGAGAATATGACTTAAAAAGTTAAAGGGATAATAACTCTTCGTATGAAATCTGTATTTCACAATAAAAACATTGTGAGTGACTCATAAAAATATAATATATTCTGTTTTCCCACAAAAACGGCTGTTATAGCTATTATTCTGATATCTGAGCTTGTCTTTAGACCATGTGACCTCCATTGATGGCTATACTCTGTTAAAATCTCTTAAGAGATTTTAACAAAAAACCAAACTTTTTAGAAAAAAACCAGGGACTAACTTTGAATGTAAAAATGGATTCATTAACCATTGGTAAGTATGGGAAAATTGTTGTTTACTCCAGGAAAATTCATTTTTTGGCC